TTGTTCTCTCCCACATCTCTCGAATACCTTAATTAATCACAATAATGAGCCAATCGATTGTGTGCGAGAATGGGCGGGATATCGTAGATTGCACTTTTATTTTCAACTACCCGCACAGAACACAAAAAATAGTCAGGCTTCATTTACAATAGACTATTGGTGAATAGCTGAAGAATGGTCGAACCCAACCTCAAAGAACACCTTGAAAAGTGCATTGAAAAAAATACAGGTCAAGTTAGCACCATATCCGAGTAATTCCTGCCCCAATTCGCTCAGAAAGCGTTCCAAGTGATCTCATCTCTATTCCAAGTAGATTTCAACATTCTCTATCGAATGGTGTAAACCAATTCACGCTAGCTTAAACTATTCGTGCACAATTTTAAAAATACTCATTTTTCCCCATGGACGTAGAGAATCCCAGACCTAATTTCTGCCCATATTGACTTGTAAAGCATTCCAAGTGATCTCATTTCTATTCCAAGTAGATTTCAACATTTTTTATCCAATGGTGCAAACTAATTCACACTAGCTTAAACCATTCATGCACAATTTCAAAAATACTCATTTTTCCCATGGACTCTAGTGAATCCTGAAAGTAATTCCTGCCCATATTCGCTGAGGAAGCATTCCAAGTGATCTCATTTGTGTTCCAAGTAGGTTTCAATATTTTCTATTCAATTGTACAAAAGAATTCACGCTAGCTTAAACGTTTCATGCACAATTTCAAAAATACTGATTTTACCGTCTTGACCCTATTATACGTGGAGAGCAACTCCTGCCCGTATTTGTTCAGGAAACGTTCCAGATGTTCTCATTTATGTTCTAAGTAGAATTCGATGTGCTCTATCTAATGGTTGAATCAGATTCACGATACCTCAAACAATTGGATTAGGAGTTGGAAAATACTGATTTTTCCGAATGACCTCTGAGGAACTCGTGGAGTAATTCTTGTTAAATACATGAATTTTTTCTTCATTGTTTCTTAATTGAAAAATAAATTCATGATCTGTAACTGTCTTTTATCAGCATCTATTTACAAATCTGTGAATTTATCTGTGAATATCGAGAAATTCCTATTTGTCTTACGATGAGAAAACAACAAAAGTAATGCATAAGTAGTGGTTGTATATTGAGATCAATAATGTTACTATAACAGATGCTGTAATAATTTACAACAGATAGAGAATGAAATAAAAGCAACAAACACGGCCAAATACTGGGCTATATAATTAAAAGCGATATGATTGATATAATTAAAGATAGCTGCCATAGCCATGAATGTTAATCTATCTTAATAGTTCTTTACACTAAATGATAAAGACGAACAAATCATTTATTTTTCGAAAAAGAAAAGAAAAATATGAAGTTAACTGAAGGAAAACGAAAAAAAAAAATTTATAGAGGAAATGCATAGAGAAATAGGAAATATAAACAACATGCTTGTGCCTTATCTTCAATGAATAGCAGAAATGTCATAATATCCAAAGGCTGGGTATCAAGGAGATACTAGTCACGATATCCGTCAGAGTGGATACCCAAAATGGATACCCTATCTTCAAAAGTTGAGGATTTCGAGTGAATTTAGTGTAACGAGTTGGATACCCAAATGGATACCCTATCTTTTAAAGTTGGGTGGGTGTGGATGTCAGTTAAGATAAGGGTCACATTTTACACCCACACCCACACACCCTCATTATGGCGTTTTTATGTATATAAAAACTACGTTTTATCTTGTTCTCGAGGCTGACCTGAATGCAAAAAGAAAAATTATTAATGTAAATAATACTTACAATTTATCTTGTTGTAGAAATTACGTTAAATAAAAAAATTTTTAAAAGTATTTGAATTATCATACTTACGTTCCATTTTGGTGTCGAAATTGATCTAAGTAAAAGAAAAAAGAGTTTATTTTTATAGATTTACATTTATTGCTCTAGTTTTTTGACAAAATCGTTAATTAATCTCAGTTATTCGAATAATCATTGTTTAACTGCAATTTATCGGAACTTCCATCGATCACTGATCGAACACGATTAGCGGACGATTTGGACACTTTTTTGGTTCCGCTCCTGTTATGGTCTCGAACCGGTTTCGGTGAACTCTAATCTCTAGTTATAACTACATATGATCCATTCTTATTTTCATAAAGTCTACTTTCTGACAAATAATTTTGAACTTATCAATAACCCAGATTTTGTTATCCTAATGCTTGTAAACAATGAAGAGTTGAAACTAGCTGAGTTAGAAATCGAGTTATAACTGTTTCTAACAAAGGCTCTGAAATTAATGAAGGTTATAACTTCCGACACAGTTATAACTATCTCCACAAGTTATAACTATTTCGACTTCTGCCAAATGCTAATAAATTCTATTTTTCACAAATTAGTTTTGAACTCGTATTTGAGCGAGAGAGAAGAAGATATCAAATCACAGAGAATGAACATTGTCATAACAGTGGAATAGAAACTTCTTCATTGTGTCTACTTAGAACTGAAAATCGATAAATCATATCATTGTAATTGGCCATATTTCATAGAAAAATGAGACTAGACTAGATTTTGAATCACATAACAGTTATAACTATCGACTCGAGTAATAAGTAATTCGACTTTTTGCCAAATTCTAATAAATTCTACTTTTCAAAAATTAATTTTGAACGTATCTCTAGTTTGAGAAGGTATCGGTTTTTGCATATAAGGTTTTACTGCGTTTTTCATAGCAATTATTGCAATATTCCTCGGAAGAAACATTCGGTCGTAAAGGGCTAATCAGATCAACAACCTATTTCCTTTGTTCTTATTGGTGGTTCGGGACAAAACTGAGATGGAAATTATTTGATAACGAAGAATTTAAAGATTACAAAAAAGAACAAGAGTGGTAGCAGAATGATTCTCGTCTAATCGATAGCATCACAAAAAATTCATTACAGTTGAATGCCTTCTTTTTAGATGACGCCCATGCTTTCCATACTTTGAATAATTTTAATGAACCGCTGTTCTCAGCCGAAATTGAATAGTTGAAAATGCACTATCCAGAAAAATCTCAAATGATACGAAAATGTAACGCCGATCCTAGAGCTCTATATAATCTATCGAATAAGGAGTGAATTCAGCTGGAAGGATTGACATATGAAATTGTTAAATGGAAAAAGACACACCAACAGAAGTTAATATATGAGCAAAATCAACAGATATGGAGTGAATTAAAAGAATTTTGTGATTTTAACTATCTCAGTTTATACCTCAACGATAATAATTAGCGTCAATATTCAAATTAAAAATTATCAACAAAAGAAACAACTCTCTAATCAAAACTTTTTCTGTTATGATCTTTTCATTCCTTTTTGATGAAGAAGAAATAAGAAAAGGTAAAGAACGTTTCATTGAAAGTAATCCTCGTACAATAATCTCTGTCTGAATTTGAAAAATTATGTCCTTTCAAAGGCAAGCTATAAAGTAACTTTCCCTTCGTGTCAGACATTTTTTAGACTACTTTCAAATGTAGTCCACTTGAATATGCAAGCTAGTAGAGCTTACAAGTCTAATAAAACAGACTTTTTCATGTAATTTTTCTCTTAGAGTTACACACTACTTCCGAGGAACTTCGACCGGATTAGGGGTATCACTTTTATTTTATTTAACTTTTGTTTTATGAAAAAAAACAAAAGTTTGCATTGGTTAATTTTTATCTCTATTCTGAATAATAGAGTTGAGAGGATGCTATTTTTTTCAAAAATAAAATTTCAATTTTTAGCTTTTATTTTTTCACAAAAAATGTAAAAATTGTTCCTTTAATTTTATTTTTAATTATTTTTATTTAAAAAAAAAAAGTTGAATCGTTTCCTTTTTTCTTGAAAAAAATCAATGGCTGATGGTAATCGTGAGAAAATCTGCCTGATGCTTTCTCTAGAATTCGTTCAATTGACTCTCATCTTGTGCAAGTCAGTTCGAACAGTGACGTTATTTTTCTAGTGGCCGTTGAAAGAGAAAAGAGAGCAAATGAACAATCAATAACACTCAAGACTGTTTTTGACGAGATGATTGAATACTCTAACACAGATTGTCTCTAAGAAGAGTCGTTGGTTTTCTCTAGAAAATTCAAAGAAGCTTATTTCAGAAATACAATCGTTGGGTCCCGGGGGATCAACACGAATAATATTGATTTGGCAGGACGGAAAACGTTCAAAAAATCATCGAAAACGAAAAACTTCTGAAAAATAGATGCCAATCTTGTGAAATATGGGAAAAAGAAACATTTCCGACATTTTTGCGATGTATCTATTCGGCACACATTGTCAGTGCTATATTTATAATTATCAGTTCTGCAATTGACGAAGCCTATGAGACGTTGATTTGGATGAAACACAATATTTTTAGTCAAATTATGAACAATCCGCTCCGGAGAGAAGCAGACGCATGTTCCGGAAGCAAATGCATGAAAAAGTGTTTTTAATATCACATTGAGACTTTGACATCGACAGAAGTTATCGACTTTATATTTGCTGTTGTTTTTCAAAAAGAGTTTGGACTTTTATTTAAAAAACAATAGAAACAACTATTTTGCTTTTATTTAAAAGAATGAAACCAAAAAAAACAACTTTTACTTTTTATTAAAAAATAAAAACTAAAAATCGAAGTTTTTGTTTTTGAAAAAAAGATAAGATTCAACTTTCCTTTTAAAAATAAAAATAAAGCAATAAATTTCGTGTTTTTAAAAAAAAAGAAAATTGACACCTCTAGACTGTATTAGATGAAAATCTTCGCTACAACTCTGCACGGAATTCCTCATTGAATAATATTGTCAGAAAATACTTAGATCTATGATTTATTTTATTCTGTAAAATTTTTTTCAAAAGATTAATATTACACAAATAAGGAACTAGGAAAAAATAATAATTAAAGCTACAGCTAAGAGCAGACATTTATCTCTTTTTTTTTCGTTACAAATGAATAAAAAAAGCTGCAAGTTAAACCTTGCAAATTAAACTTGTAAACTATACACTAAATGGATACACCCTTTTCTTGCAACCACTTTCTCAAATCCTCCGTCATTTCTGGCATAACTTTATGTTCTTGCACACCATCAATTGTTCCTTTATCCCATTCTGGACGATTTTTACAGTAGAGTGCCATACCAGGTTTTGGTAATTGATCGAATAGACCCAATCTAACTGCTATTAGACCAATAAATTTTGGATTTTTACCATACACCGGTGAACCACAATTACCACAGAATGCACGTTCTAGTGTTGTGCCACTGTCTGTGTTTGGATCTTGATATATTTTTGGTTGACCTTGTATTTTAACATCTCCTTCTGATACATAGAGATTGTACGACGCTAGACAGCCACCACTTTGACGACAATTTTTACAATAACATACACCTACATTCTCAGTTTTATTGAACGCAACTTGTGAAACAGAGACAGATATTTGACCACATAGACATTTGCCCGATATTGTAGATGCAGTCATTTTGTTTATTTACTGATCTTACTTTTATGTCTCAAATGAGAAATAGTATTGAGAATGGAGAGAACAAAATGAGAAAGAAATACACGAAAGAATAGCAAAAGAAAAGAAAAGAAAAGAAAAGAAAAAAAAATGGCTATGTATTCTTTCTTTCATCAAATATACGATTATTTCTTTGCTTGATTAACTCGTATGTGCAAATGCAGTACAAGAGAATCAAAACGTCTTTGTAGGCTTATTCTTTTTTCTTTTTCATCCCTTTTACCACTCGTAGTGTACATTTTCTTTTTTCGTTCGCAACCTACAGTGCGCCACTACGACATGTCAACAGAGCTTGCAGATATCACACACTATGAGATTCTCATCATTAGTCCTGGTGCAGCGAGAATTGTTGCTGCAATTAACTTGAAAATAGGAGGCGTCACTTCCTATCTTATCTTAGAAGCACACAACCGATGTGGTGAGCGTGCTTATACTGACGACACACAGAATTCCTCTTCTACAGTGGGTCTTGATGCGCGATGGATACATCGCAACTTATCTAATAATTTACTCTATAAGTACTACCAACAACTTGTTTTCTTTAGCAAAGAAAGACGAAGCAAAAACAACAGAAAATGTATTTTTACTGGACTATGATGGTAGTATACATTCCATTAAGGTTTTATTCGGAGAACCATGAGTCTTTTTTCACACAAGGAGACTATCATGAGTTTGTAAAAGCTAAGAGTGAGTTAGTTGCCGAGAAAATGACAACTTGTTGAAATTTCGTTGTTCTCCATAAAGATAAATTCAAAGGTCAAAGTACTTTTTATTCCAAATTGCTCAGAAACAAAAGCACCTTTCCACTATTTGTATAGTTTCGATTTGATTTCTAGTAACTAAAAACGAGTCACTGAACGGGTCACACAAAGACTGTACCCAATGGATCTTTTCCTACAGAGCAGGCGAAAATGTTGCTTTTTCTGATGAAAATTAGTCGTTGAGTCGCAGCTTTATAATTTCTCATCATTAACACTAAACAAAATGTAAAAGTCAAAGTTTTAAAAAAATAACTTCTTGATGAAAAAAAGCTGAGGTTGGACCTTTATCGTAATTTTCTCTCGTAAAGTTTTTTTTTCGTCGAAACAGATTGTAAAACACATCAGCTGATGCAACTTGATGTTCGCTCACCTCTGCATCAGGTTCATGTCTGTGCACGCTGTTCATTTCGTTTGCCTATGCTAATAGAGAATTAATGTAGCATGTGTGTTCATTCTCTTTATTTCTATTTTAATCTTACGGAAGGACAGAAAGTAAAAGAATCTATTGAAATCGACAAAACTTAAACAGAAACACAAAACAACTAATAAACTTATCTCTTAACAACAATCGTACGATGTCAGTTTTCTTTCTACAACAGCTGTAATAGCAGCTTGTTCAACTTCATTCATTTCACGATTTTCAGTTCCATATGGTTCACCCATATTCATACTGGAATTTGCAAAACTTAAATTATCACTATCCTTTTGATTGAATCCACTGACGAATAGAACGCTTTTAGAATTGCCATAAATGTTATAATAATATTGTAAGAATTGTTCATGTTGTGTACCAGAAACACCACTTTTATAACCGTAACATCGTTCACAACAAAGTAGAACAACATTTTTTATGTTTAATACCTTTTGGATAGAGAACACGACTTAAATGATGAAACAACAAAGACAAAACCTTGTTAAAACACGTTGACACTTAAAATTGTTCACCTGCCACTTTTTTTACTGCTACCAAACCCATAATAGAATCATGTGCAACTAAATTATTCATAGAGAGAGGATTGTGATACTCTGTACGGAGCAGAAAGTCAACAGAAGAATTAGAAAAGAAAGACAGTATGGATTGCTCCTACCTTTTTTATTTGCAAAGCAACAGATATTCGAATTGAAGCGTAACAGAAAAGAGGTGATAAACTACTACGAAACGAAGATTGAAGTTTGTTTAAAGGCAGAAAAATGTGTGTGTGTCCTTAGCTGTTTTTATATATAACTTTGTCAACTGTTAAGATGCACTCTTCTTCTAGCTCCTTTTTCACAAATCTAGCACATTAGACTTCTATAATCTTCGTAAAGGGTAGTGCAGAATAGCAATGACCTCGAATCAACCTTTATTCCATGGTGGGCGTGGGCGTGGATTTGGGTGTGCGTGTAGATCTACGTGTGAGGTTTTCTTCTTCGATCACCAACATCCATACCCACCCACACCCTCTTAAACTTTCAGGTTTGAAATTTGCATATTTCCTCACTTGCCGTTGTATTTTAGCGAAACGTCATATACTGTCATACCTTATTCATATATTTCATTACTAATCGAAGTAAATTCATTTGACTATAACATTTTCTCTTAAATAGAATTTTAAAACATTTCTTCTATCACTGTATTACCTTTTAGACGCACGTTTCGCGTATAAAAATGCTCAATAAAATAATTGATACGTTCAGTTGAGAGTATAGAAACAAGAGTTTGTTTAAATTCCTTTATTATTAGTTTCGATTTTGTTCATTTGTTTTTTTATACATGTAAAAAGAATAAAAAAGTTAATTAAAGATGATAATAACCATGCTTTAGTATTTTTCTTTTGTATTACAACTTGATTGCTTTATTTTATTTGATTAATTTGTGCTTCATGCTCTTTGTATTTAGCTTTCAATTGTTCCACTTCAGTTCTCTGTCAATTGAATAAACAAATAATTTTTTTAACAAAAAAATACTATTTCAAAATACCATACATTTTTATCTGAAATATTTTGACGCTTGTTCAACTCTTCAAAGAAAAGAAGTGCCCTTTCCCAAAACTTTATTGCCTCATTTGTATCACCTTGTCTTAAAAGTTTTACAGATCGATCTGCAGTGTTACTCAAACCACGATACAGATGGACATTCAGCCAGCCTTCTAGTTTCAAAGGTGATTGATATTGTTCATTGTTCGTTGCTACCATTCGTATTGACGAGGTTTGAGGTAGTCGACCTAAATTTAATTAAAATATATGTTTTTAACATTATAGTTTCAAAACATGTCAACATCCAGTGAATTTGAATACGAAAAACACAAATCTAAATTCATGCTTCAAGAAATTTTCACTCGAAACTGATCGTCAAGAGTCATTGATTACAACAAAACGTGAAGAAATCAAATATTTACGATATCTCTTACATTATTCTCATACATTTTGTTCAGTTGTAAGACGATGACAAGAGAAATGATTTATTTATCATTTTTTTGTAAAAGAAAAAACAAAAACAAAATGTTTAAATTAAAATAAAACTAATCAAGAGTATGACTATTCTCTTACCAAAAGATTCAAAACAAGAGATTAGAAATTATTCTTAAGATTGTAGCAAACTACAATCAAAAAATGATCATTCTTACCAGTATTGTAATATCTTCTTGGTGATTTCGTACCAGAATGCAGATCTCGCATCCACAAGTTACTGTGAATAGAGTTAGTAGACATTCGACTTTGATTCATCGTCATAATCGTTACAACCGTTGTTCAATCTAAATATGTGTAAAATTCTCATAAGCAAAAACACAGTTGTGTACTCATGGATAACACTTTCAATTGTTTTTTCTTCAGAAAAAGATAATATACAGAAATCAACAAAAACTTGACGTGATTATTTTTTCTACCAAAAAAAAAGTATATTATATCTTTTGAATAAAGATAAAATTCTATACTTGATGATATATGGATATATCCATGGAGTTTCGTCAACCAATGCCACGACTATCTCCGAATCAATCTTTTAAAACTTTTAGTGTTTGTAGAGATTTGTGCGGTAATCATTTTGGTATTGAATTATTGAATGTTTACTCTATTTTCGCCAAGATATAGGTGAAATACAATAAACATATATTTTTTTCTTTTACGATTATTTCGCATAAAAAATACGCTCATCTCTTAAAATGAGAGTAATAACGCCTGACTATTCGTTTATCTCTGGAATCTAATAATGCATTCGGACTGAACATAAAAAACTACATCAAAATCTATGCG